TTTGTTGCATTTCTCGTATACCACCCATATCACAAGTCAGAAACATTTCTGACACTTTAACTGTTTGAGAACCAAATATATCACCTTTGAGATTTTAAATCTACATTTGCTTCTACATCAGGTATGTTTTGCTTCAACGATTTTGGTTTAGGGTTATCCTATCTTAATGAGTTAGCTGAAATGGATAATATCCGAAAGACATTCTTCACATATCAAATCTCCTAGCTTGTTGCTCAAAATTATGATGGTCGGGATTTCTCTCACGTTTCATGTTGAAAAAAAACAATGGAAATTAGGATTAATCAATGATAACATGAAAATTTTGTAAGTTAATAAGTATTGAAAGAGGTTGTTGTTATCTTACAAATGGAATTTGATGTTACCTTCCAATGCAATGAGCATGTTGTTGTTTGAAGGGAACAAATGATCCAACTCATATTTATAGTGGAGTCGAAATTAAAATTGAAATTCAAACTCAAATTAAAATTGAAAATGAAAATGAAATTCAGTCTCAAATTGAAATTGAAAACTACATAAATGATTTATATTGTTCAAGGAACATGCGTTATCTGCCAAAAAGCAGGGAAAGACAATACTGATTCAGTTCAAAGCTGAGTTGATTAACGAAAATAAAACAGTCACATGGAAGACAAAACGAGATAGTTAGATTGTATTCTTAGGTGCAGGACATTCTGAATCCAGCTCAGCATCAATTACAATATCCAATGTCCGCATAACATTAACATCATTCCTCCTCACTTCATCCATCTTTTCTTCTTCATCTTTTTTAAATTTTTCGTATTTTTCCTCTACATAACTCTTCATATCTTTTATTTCAGACTTTAGCTTTTCCCATTCATCCAATTTTTTCTCAACCACTCCCATCACCCCCTTAAATTCACCCCTCAATTGCACCACTTATTTTATCACTCCATCAATTTTCCACCCACTTCCCCCTTAGGGCTATCAATTGCCTCTTCGATTCTGAATTGTATTTGTAAACAATTAGAAACGACTTTTTTTAGCTCCGCAAACTCATCCATCAAAATGTCAAATTTACTTAAACCACCCTGACCATAATCCCCCTACTACCTTCTCTTCTTCCTTCTCTTCTTTCTTCTCTTCTTCATTCTCTCCTTCCTCTTCTTCCTTCTCTCCTTCCTTTTCTTCCTCCTCTACCTCATTTCTAATAACCTTCAAAATTAAATTACAATATTAATACATTGGATTATATTCTTAATATTATATAATTACTTTTATTACCTTTTCTTGCTTGATCGGTCTTTCCAACTTCAACTTCGCCATCACTCTAACTACTTCTTCCTTCCCCCATGCATAGATCTGTGTAACTCCGGTTCTTTGGAATGCCGACACACTTACACAGTCAGACCAAAAATCAAAAAATATAACCTATATTTATAATGAAATTTATCATTTTATATAATAACTATACTATCATTTTATGTAAAAACCTAACACATCTTTCAACTCATTTACCTCTAAGATTACTATGCACCCTTTGAGGTATGTCTGGTTTCAGCCCTTCTGAAAGTTGATTATTAATTCAATCAATCTAACATGGACATATTCAACCCAATTCAATTCACCTTACAAACCTTCATCGCAAATCAACTTCATATTGTTCTTGCTCGGGGATGTATCACCCGTTGGACAAAGAAAGATTCCGACAAGGTACAATAGTACTCAGGCCTTCAAGTTATCCCCCTCGTAAGCTCCGCTTTTTTAATTTCCTCTTCAAGTCCATTATATGTCACATTGGGCTTTAAATCATATTTCATCGCAAGTGCTTTCTAATTCTTCGTCTTAATGACTTCTTCAACACTATTGTCTTTCTCTTCTAGCCTCAACACGGCTACAACACATGGGACCCCCAAAGGAAATGAATAATCACCATATTTAACTCTACACTTTTCAACATTGAAATCATCCATCAAGGATCGACACAATTCCCTCCGAATTGGTCGATCCCTTACTCTGATCAAATATCCAAACCCCATTTCTTCTAGCATATGAACTTTATTCTTGAATTATGGAGTTTAGTTTTTTGGTGCTATACCTTGTCGACACTTCCTACATTTTTAAAAAATATATAATGTTAGTGTTCTTATATATCTTTTATCACAATATTTACAAGTTTAATTAATACCTTCTTTTCATGTGCTTTCCTCCAAGCTTTGTATCGTTGTCTATCCTTTTTGGACCGTGTCACATATGGTTCCTTCTCAACATCACTTATCGACTTCCATTTCTCCAACACCTTATGTTTCACCTAAAATTAAGTATAAACGTTTCTTAATCAATATATTAACGCTAAATAATATTCAATGTCAATTTCATTTTACATACCGAACTGATGTTGTGATTACCAGCTTCCTTCATTCTTTAGCATTCAGTCATACTGTCAACATTTAAAATTTGTAATCAATTTAAAGTTCTTAAATAGTTTAATACAATTACAATTTCAACAACAATAACAAATATACATTGATACTTACTAGAAGTGCATATATTCACTCAGTGCTTGCTTTCGATTTACTTTATTGTTGATACTCTCGGGCTCCATTTCACTATCATATTCGCGGACAACAATCGCAAGATCTGTTGACTTCATTTTTCCTTCATATATCAGTTTACGAACATTCAAACATTAAATTAACGCAAATCAAATTAAATACAAGTTACATACAATTTATTCAATATACAAGTATCGATAACTAATCTTATAGTAAAACGATTTCCTTCAAAGGAATTAGAATACTCTCTACTACAAGTATCAGTATATTTATACAAACTAAAATATCATTTTCTACCTATAATAATATATACAAGTATCAATATTTATTTTCTATCTATAATATCACTTTCTAACTGTAATCGATCTCAAATCATTCTTTGCTTCGAAATCCCCAAACCCATAAACCCTAATCCCTATTTATGAATACTGTGATACTAAAAAAACTAGGGTTTCCTTCAAACGAATGAGAATACTCTCTACTATAAGTATCGATACATTTATACAACATACAATATCATTTTCTACCTATAATATTATATAAAAGTATCAATATTTATTTTCTACCTAGAATATCACTTTCTTCCTATAATTGGTCACAAATGTTTCTTTATTTCGAAAACCCCAAACCCATAAAACCCCTATTTTTATTATTGTAATAATAAAAAACTATGGTTTCGACAACATACTTTTCGATTTCGATTGCAACAACAAACAAACAACTACGCTTTAAAATTGTCTTCCTTCTATTTCGCAGCAACTAATACGCTTCGATTTCAAAAACTACAGATGTGTTCTATCTATTTTCAAAGGAAATGTAGCTATGCCTTTGATATTTTAACCGGATATGTTATTTATATTTAATCGATACAATTACCCAAGTCTCGATACTTTTGTGTAAGGTGTCGATACTTTCGATACGTTTTCATTTTTTCCTTTTAAAAGTATTGATAATATGATACATATACTTATAAAAGTGTCGATGATATGATACATATACTTATAAAAGTATCGATAATATGATACATATACTTATAAAAGTATCGATACCTTCAACATATCCGGTAGCGCTTTACCGGTTTTGTCATATTGAAATCAGTTTTGTCATATTTTAACATGTTATATTGTCATGTATCGATACATGTTTGTAAAGTATCGATACTTTATAGGCACTATTATTGCAATTCTTTTAAATTCCTAAATTATCAATAATATGTTACATATACTTATAAAAGTAACAATACCTTCAACATATCCGACAGTTCTTTACCGGTTTTGTTATATTTTAACATGTTATATTGTCATGTATCGATACATGTTTCTAAAGTATTAATACTTTATAGGCAATATTATTGCAATTCCTTTAAATTCCTAAAGTATCGATAATTGGGTGTATATACTTAAAAAAATATCAATACAAATTTCAACAATTCAAGTATCTCTACCGGTTTTGTCAAATTGAAACCGGTTTTGTTAAACTTCAACCTGTTATATTTTTATGTATAGATACTTCTTTGCAATGTATCGATACCCACCGACAAGCAAAATTTGTCAGTTGTCAAATTTTTTAATATTTCTTCATGATTTCCACATACAACATTATTACTCAACATTTCTGAAAACACTAAACCGACTTTGTTAAGTATCTTATTAATTTGCATTTATCACAAAATTAATCCCAAACTTAAAAAGATAATAATAATCCTATCCAAAAGTAATCCTAAACTTAAAAAGATAATAATAATCCTACCCAAAAGTAATCCTAATTTGCCTAAATGAGAGCTTGAATGACGTGTGTAAATAGTATTAACACTAAAAACAATGCAAGTTACTAACTATATGGTGATTATATTTGAATGCAACAAACAAGCCTAGGAATAACTCTCATAATAAACCTCTATAATACCCGAATCAGATTAGTCAGTCAACCTATAATACCCAAATCAGATTAGTCAGCTGGTCGGTTAGGTAATGTGTATATAAAAAAGGGTAAATTACACATATAGTGCCTAAACTATACTTTTTGATCTATTTTAATATCTAAACTTTTTTTTTCAAAAATATACCTAACGTCTAGTTTATGGTTCAATTTAATACACGCCATTAAAAAATTAGTGGCAATGACGAAGTGGAATTATTTTCCCTTTTTTGATATTCCACGCATCTTACAATGTAAATTCCACGTCATTGTGGCTATTAAGATTTTAACAGCAGGGTACCAAATTAAAACCTAAATTAAACATTAGTTATGATTTTAAAAATAAATAAAGTTTAGGAATTAAAACAGAAAAAAAATAATATTTTAGGTACTAGAAGTGTAGTTTACCCTATAAAAATGCAAGTTATTTTCAACACTGAAAATAGCATTCTGGATAACAGACATCCTACTACAAGTCATCAAAATCAACATCTGAATTTTCAATATAGAAAATCGAAACATAATATCAAGTCAAGTTGTGACATTAACTAAATCGGAATCAAGATTTCAATCTTTCCAATAATATGTTTTTAACAGCATGTAAGGTGTTTAAATAAGAAAAGCCCCGTTTTTTTCTAAGAGTTCAGATGAGTTGAATGAGAGATGCAACGGTTAAAAGAATGCACAATTGGAATTCGACAGTTTAATCAAACATCTGCATCACTTCCACCAACATGTGTTTCATGGCTAACCCAATAGTGGCTTCCATCGGGACCAGACACCTTAAACCTGCTCAATACCATGATGCCGAAAATATTTGTTAAGAACTACATTACCCGGATCAGGTGTAATTCGTGTTTACTATTTTATCATATAAGTTTTCATGTATTCGGAAGTTCTCCCTATGTTTTAGATTACTTTACTCACCGTTCAAGCACGGATTTTCCTTCCTTGTACTTCTGGCCCTTCTCATGGGCAAACTCCTGAAAGAAACTAACCTTGTAACTAATGGGAACGGGCGATGATGCATTAAACTGTTGAACTTCGAATACGTAACAGTAAAACAACGTAAAGCTTACATATTTCCACCCCACAATTGATCCACACCCAATGCAGAAGATGTCCACTACTGTGTGCAACCCTGTCATCATCATTCTATCTTCCTTCTCCCCAGCAGAAACATTCACCCTATGAAATAATGAAAATCTTATCTACTTTTTTATTAAAGAAAACTTTATCTATGAAAACGAAAATTGCGAATAACATCAAATCTCATTTCTCAAAAGATGATGTGAGTTGGATTTCAGCGAAATCCATCCTTGACTACCGTAGTCTACTCTTAAGCAGACACCTGCAATCCCTGTCTTGTATTCAAGAGGCTAAATTACAAACATAAGAGGACTATTGGCAATTGAAGGCTATTATATTGCAATAAGTGAACTAAACAAACTGTTAGAATCGAAAATGAATTCGAGAAGACTTTTTCTTATGCATTACACATGACATTATGAGCGCACCAAAGTTCGGCAAACCCCAGATTAATTGTATCCTAATTGAAATTTTGTACGTATGGGTGAGAGATAGAGACGTAGAGAGAGAAAAGTTGAAGGAAAGTCTTTTTCCGATGAAGTCTAGACGGCGTTCATAGATAATCTAAGCAGGAGAGTGTCACGACGAGAGTTAAAGGAACTGTTTTTATTCCAGGGTCCTGTAGAAAGAGTGTTCATTCCAAAAGAAACAAGAAATCCGAAATACAAATTCTCCACATTCGCCTTTGTGCAGTTTGGTAATGAGGCAGGTCTGAAAAGGGCAATAGAAAACTTAAATGGTTCATTGATAGATGGAAGGAGAATTACAGTTGGAGCTGCAAGATACAAGGAAGCTCTTTCAAGGCCAGTGGGGAAGAACAGTTCCTTGATGATGGTTTCAAAGCAGAATACAGAAGATACATCAAAGTCCAAAGAGAAAGATGATATTAATAGGAGTTTAAGGGATGATAGAACCTATAAGGATGCTTTCCTGTCGAACAGAATGAAGAGCAATGTATCGGATTATAGGGAGATGTCAAATGAAGGTTTTCACAGGGGAAAAGGAAAGAAAAAATTTGGGAAATGCATATTCCCTCTGAGAGCTCAAGTAGGGTTAAGAGGTCATTAACGGGGATCATTAAAAATTCTTTCTAGTCATAGTTCAGAAGGCTCCAATAAATGAAGGCTATGATGTCCAGATTGCCAGATAGGGTTATGTTTGGAATTCATGTGCAGTAACTTTTAAATCGACTAAGTGATGATGGAGGCTTGGTTGAAGAAAAAAGATGAATTAGATTTCTTGTTTGACCGGTTGGCACCTTTGTTGAATGAAGATGGGATTCCAATGGCTTTCTGTCTGGTAGAGTTATTTGGGGTCCCTCTTTTATGCTGGCAGAACTCATTTCAGGAAAGGTTAGCAGGGAGATGGGGGCCGGTGGAAGACATCCATGATGCTACAAAAAAACCAGGGAGGACCTCTCGACGGTGAGGGTTCTGATTAGGGTGGCGAGCCCTTATGATGTCCCGGAGGTGATTACTCTTGGATCTTATGGAAGGTCTTTTAAAGTAAGTATCAAGCTGGGATCGATGCTTGAAAATTCAACATTCTTTCCTAGTAAATTGCCGATTGGTGATTCCGATGGAAGACAAATTGGAGAGAAGTTGTCCGAAGAGGAAGAAGACAGGGGGTTGTCAGACAGTGAGGAAAGTTCTGATCGATCAGCAGAGGATTGCAGACCAAAGGTAGACACGTGGTTTGACCAAGGAGCTTCTACGGGTTTGGTTGAAGTTGGTGGGGAAAATCACTTTCCAATGCTTAACAAAGATGGTAAAGGCATTAAAAGAGGGGTGTCAGAATTTTAGAATTTTGGGAGAAACAAAATGGGGGAGTAACGGGTTGGGTTGCAGAATTTCAAATTTTTCGGCTGATGGGTCTCAAGCCGAATCAGCAGAAAATGGGCAGTCTGTTTCTACAGTACTAAAGATAGTTCCTTCTGGGCCAGTAATTAAGCTAAATAAGTTTAGGAAAATGGATCAGAATCAAATTCTGGTTGAATCAACCAACAAAGAAGAAGAAGATAATGGTGGAATTTCAAATACATGTTCGATAGATCGCAGTGGAGACGTGCATCCAACAGCAGAATTAATGTTGATTGGGTCTACTGCAGATTCTGAAGAGAGGAATTCTAGGGGAAGATCGTTTTATTGGTATAAATCTACATTATCTACAAACAGTGAACCGATGGAGAGGAGAAGAATTTGCAGTTACAAAAGGGTGTATAAAAGGTCCAGGGAGAGAAAACACTGGTTCGGGAATGATCAAATTGTAATTTCTGAAAAATAGGGAGGTTTAGACAGGCAGAAGGAGAAGGATATGGCCTTATGTTCAGTTCATCCAGTTAATGCAGTAGCAGAATTAAATAAGGAAGGTTGTTTCGAGTCTACTATGGAGAGACAAATACCTGACAGAAGTTTGGATAAAAGGATTGAAGGGTGGCTTTCAGAAGGAGATAATTATGGTTTCAAATCTAAGACATTCAACAGAAGAGCTAAAAGATTATTACCAAGGGATGCATTAGATCAAGTTAGCACTACAACAGTTTCTTCTTCAGCTTTTTCGGTTCTCTTGGAGGAAGCATTAGCTACTTAGGAAATTAGTAAGCTATTGGGGGTTTCTTTTAAGGAAGGGAAGACAGCCTTTTTGGAAAAAAATTATAAACTTGGAGAAAGATTTGAGGTTGGTTAATTGAGGTTTTCTTCTTTGGGGGTATTCTGATTTTTGATTAATTAATGATGAAAACAAAATTAGGCATTATTACATGAAATGTTAGGGGATTGGGAAGAAAGGAAAAACAGAGAGCTGTTCAAAATTTGGTTTTAAAGAGCCACCCTCTAATACTTTTGCTGCAAGAAACCAAATTAGAGAAGGAACAGAGATATTTTCTAAGGAGTGGGTTGAATAATCTTCAAGGGTTTGTAGAATCTCCAGCAGTTGGTTCCTCTGGAGGTTTATTGGGCAGTTGGGATGAGAATTCGTTTGAATTGAAAGACCATGTTATAAACAGAAGATTTATTGCCATTTTTGGGAAAATTTGAAACAAACCAACTTAGGTGCGATTTCATTTAATATTTATGGGCCTGCAGTTGAGGATGAGAAAACAATTTTTTTTTTGAAGAGCTAGCTGATTTCCTTAATGGACAGAGTATCCCTCTTTGTGTGGGAGGTAATTTTAATGTGTACTCGTCAGAAGAAGAGAAGGTTGGGAGAGCTCAAAATAGAAATTCTATGGGGATTTTCAATCATTTTAATCAACAGACAGGATTAATTGATTTACCTCTGAATGGGAGAAGGTTCACATGGTGCAACAATCAGGATATCCCTACCTTTGTTAGATTGGACAGGTTCTTAGTTGATGTTCATTTCCTGGAAGCTTTTCCTGAAATTGTTCAAACTTTACTACCTAGGTCTGTGTCAGATCATAATGCTATGTTTCTTCAGAATGGTGGAGTGAGTTGGGGTAAAAAAACTTTCAGACTTTTTAATTATTTGATGGATGAGGATTGTTTTGAGAAACTAGTCAATTCTACTGTTCAAGACTGTAAGAGAAAACAAAACAGAGTTGGAATTCTGATTATCCTGAAAACAACGAAACTGGCAATAAAAAAATGGGCTGGGAATAGAGATCAATTTCCAGCTGCAGAGATTGCTGAATTAGAGAGGAAAATTTCCACCAGCTGCAAGATTTAAGTGGAAGAGAAAAATGAGCAGAATTGACTTCTTTGAGATCATAATTATGGAGACTTTATAAAATTGAGGAACAAATTTGGTTTCAAAAATCGAGATCGAAATGGGTGGAAAAAAGGGATCGCAATACAAGATTTTTTTCATACATGTGCTTCAGTTAGGAAGAAGAGGAATTTCATGAATGCTTTGAATGTTAAAGGTGAGATTATCCAAGATCCTGCTATAATCAAAGCTAGTGTCGGGGACCATTTTTTCGAAATTTTTAACACCCGGTCTACCTTGGAAGTTGAAGATATGAAGCTGAAATTTTCCAGAATTTCACTGGAGCAAAGTCTTCTTTTAGAAAAAGAATTTTTGGAGGAGGAAATTTGGGAGACTTTAAATTCGTGTGACAGCAACAAAGCTCTCGGGCTGGATGGTTTAAATATGGGCTTTTTAAAAAGATTTTGGTCTTTCCTCAAGGTAGACATTCTGAAGTTCTTCCACAATTTTTATCTGGGGAAAGAATGGGAACATGGTATTAATCACACTTTCATTACTCTAATTCCAAAGGGGCCCAACATTGGTGGTTTAGATGATTATAGACCTATCAGCTTAGTTGGAGGGTTATATAAGATCCTTTCAAAGTGTCTTTCAAGGAGATTAAGAAACTGCATTAGTGATATAATCAGTTCTACACAGTTTGCTTTCATCCTAGGAAGTCAAATATTGAATTGTTCTCTTATAGCTAATGAGGGGATAGGTTTTTGGAGGAAAAAAGAACTTAAGGGATGTGTGTTTAAGGTGGATTTCAGGAAGGCTTATGATACAGTCGATTGACCTATACTATTTAAAGTTATGGAGAAGATGGGCTTCAGTTTCAAATGGTGCAGTTGGATTCGACAATGTGTTACAACAGCTTCGGTTTCAGTTTTGGTCAATGGGGTTCCTTCTGAGGAATTCCCAATGGCAAAGGGTCTCCGTCAGGGTTGTTCTCTTTCTCCATTGCTTTTCAATTTAGTTGGGAAACTCCTAAACTTACTGCTTCTAAAGGTAGTTTCTAAGGGACTGTTTTCTGGACTGCAGATTGGTAGGAATGAGGGTTCTGTTGATTTCCCTCATTTGCAATTCGCATATGATCTCATCATTTTTTGTGATGCTTCGAAGATGCAGATTTTAAATGTCAAGAGGGTTCTAAGAGTTTTTGAAGTCATGTCTAGACTTCAACTGAACCTAAAGAAAATAAGGTTATTTGGTGTCAATACGACTCAAGAGGAGGTTGAGGAGTGGGCGAGGACTATTGGTTGCTCAGTTGGGTGTTTTCCTTCTGATTACCTAGGGCTCCCTCTTGGTGCAAAAAGGAATTCTTCATCCCTTTAGGATCCGATTGTTTAAAATTTCTATAATAAACTTGCTGGTTGGAAGGCTGCCACACTTTCATTGGCACGGAGATTAGAATTGGTTAAATCGGTTCTTTGCTCACTTCCAACTTATTATTTGTCTCTTTTTAAAATTCCCTCCTCGATTAATTCTAAACTTAATTCCATTATGTCTAAGTTCCTATGGGGAGGGGGAATGGAGAAAAATAAGATTCATTGGGTTAATTGGTCCACTGTGTGTAAACCTAAGAATGAGGGAGGTTTGGGAGTGTTGAATCTTATCAATATGAACAGAGCCCTTCTTGGGAAATGATCTTGTAGGTTTGCTAATTATAGGAATGATATTTGGAGGATGATGATATGCTCTAAATACAATCTTGAGTCCTCATTATTTTTTAATAGCAAGGTTCCAGCTCATGCTTCTTGGATCTGGAAATCAGTGGTCAATAATCATTTTAAAGAAGACTCATTTGGCTCCAAGTTTCGTGGTACGTGCAGAATTCAAGTTGGTAATGATGAGTTAATTCGTTTTTGGCAAGACCACTGGGCGATGGACTACCCGCTTAAGGTTACTTTCCCTATACTGTTTTCCATTTCTTCTAACAAGACTGGCAAATTAATTGAGTTTGGTGAGTTTAGTTTAATGGGATGGATTTGGAACATTCAGCTGAGGAGGAATTTGGTAGATTGGGAATTTGAACAATGGGCGAATTTGATGTCAACCATCTCTGATTATAACCTGTTTGAAGTGTCAAATGATGAACTGATCTGGAAAGGTAATGGGGCTAGTGTCTACTCTATTAGTTTATGTGTGAAGGTGTGTTCCGAGGAGGCTCATTTTGGAAGAACATTTTGTGGAAAGGATTGGTGCCTCCAAGAGTTGAGTCCTTTATGTGGCAGGTGGTTCTTCAGAAGCTTCCAGTGAAGCAGAATTGGTTAAAAGAGGGGTTATGGGTATTGAGAATGTTTTATTCCCTCTTTGTAAATTGGTGGATGAATCTTCTTCTCATTTATTCTTCTCTTGTGCTGTTGTGTGGTCACTTTGGAACAAATTCATGAAGTTTTGGAGTCTATGTTTGTTTTTTCATGACAATGCTCAGTGCTTTCACCTAGCTTGGGAAGAATTTAATTTTAATTCTGTTATTTGGACTTTTATTCCTGGAGTTGTTATTTGGACTATTTGGAAAGTTAAGAATGCCATTGTCTTCGAAGGTGGAAAGTTAGACTACACTGACTTATTTTTCTTAGCAAGATTTAGGCTTGCTTCTTAGTTAAGTTTAAAGATTCTTCTATTCCTAAGGACTCTCTTATCAGTGACCCCTCCCTAGGGGATTTTTGTTTCCCCACAACAAATCGATTACGCTCCCTTGGTCCCCTCATCCTAAGGGCTTTGTCAAATTGAATGTGGATGTAGAAACCAATGGTGATTGGAAAATAAGTGGAATTGCTGGTATTCTAACAGATGATGCAGGATTGATTTCAGGTTCTTTCAAGGAGGCTTCTGTATTGGGTCCTCCTATTTTGATAGAGCTAAAGGCTGATCAGAAGGGATTATCTTTTTTTGATTCCTTGCGAGGATGTATTAAGGGTCGGTTGATTGTTGAAACTGATTGTAAAGTGGCAGTGCAATGGGTTAAGAATGGTGTAATTTGTCCTTAAATGTATGTCATAATTGTCAAGGACATAGCTGATAGGCTTAAAGACAGGGTGTAATTAGATGAGTTGCTAAGACAGTCAAAATATAGAGGCAGATGGGTTGGCTAAGGGCTGGAATAGGCCAAGTACAGTGTGGTGCTTAGGGGTATTTAATTTTGGGTTTTTGGGTTGCTTGTGAGGGGGTTTATCTTGATGTTTAAATCTTATGTATACTTTTATTATTAATGAAGTATAAGGCACTCTTTTCCTCCTTCCGCTGATTAAGGAAATCATTTTGAGTTCCATTAATCATGAAGAGAGTTTTTAATGAGGCCTTCAATTCTTATAAAAAAAAATTGTATCCTAATTGAAGTAAACAGCAGCTTATGTTTAAGAGTTGTCAGTCCTGTTCAGTGTCACTGTAGATAGATTTGGTATTAATACATAATGATCGGGTGCCTAAAATCGAGAAAACTTACACCTTACTGAAGAGATATGCTTTCCCATGCCTGCTCTGGAAGGACTGAATAGAAAAATGAGGCAAAACACAGTTAGAATCTAAGCTTCTAAGAGAACCCAGAACCGTATTTTTTTTTTTTTTACACTATGAAAATTGTTAAAAACAATGTGAAAGAAAAAATTGAAAAACTGGATAACAACGAACTGCACCAAAATACAAATGAAAAATACAATTGCTTAATTGTCATTTTAAAACCAAAGGTAAATCAATCAGAAGTTTAGCAGTTAAAGCAGTCTCGATCGTATTTTTCATCCACTAAACCACTCTTAAGTCTTAAATCAAGTATATGCATTTTAACATCCAAGTGATTGACTTAACTGCATAGTCCACCATCTTCGTTAAAGTAGCAATGGTATTGGTTTCAGACTCGACTATTAGTACAAAGTGCCAATTATCACAGAAAGGAATATCCAAACTCTAAGCATCATGCTAATATACTTGGAAACTCTGCATCTTTAGGAGGATATTGCCCTCGACCAGGGATGAACAATGAGAAAGGACTCATACAGATGATCCAACTACTTCCAGATTGAGATTTGCTTTTAATTTGTGTTAACCTGGCTTCAAGACTATTATTGAAAATCATATCCCAACATAAAAGATTTCAATTCATTCCCAGTACCAGGTTTTATCTCCTAAACAAGTCCTTTAAAATACAATATACATACACAAAAACATATAATATATATGCATGTGTGTATGTTTAACATCATAATTGTCCTAAAGTAGAATAATCTGCCATCATCAGAAAGTGGTGGCCCTTCCAAAAGACACCCAACTAACCATCTATGCTTAAAAAGAGACAACAACAGCAAATTAATAGAACTATTGAACTTCCAAATACAAAGCAAATGATTCCAAAAATGCCAATATAGATTATGCAAATTCCTAATTTTTCGATCTAATCAATCATGCGGTCTCATCAACTACAAAGTTCGTCTGAAAAGAAATATTGAATTAAATACTACACCTAGTAATAAACCCTATGAAATTATAAATTGATTGAACATTAGAAATATTGAACCAAATACTACACCTCGTAATAAACCCTATGAAATTATAAATTGATTGAACATTAGATATACCCAAATCATAGTAAAAAAACACCCAGATGAAGATTTAGCAAAAAAACAGAGAAGGATCGAAGGATTCAAATTGTGATAAATAAAAGAACAACCTTGGAAACAATGTCATCAACAAGTGCAAGATTTATTTTGCAGTGCTTGCAGCTATAAACTTTCCCTTCAAGATTCACCACAAATAACCTCCCCATCTATACACCACCCACCAGATCTTCCCAAAACTAAGAAACAAAAAAGGAGAACCTATTTTTGGAGATCAAAGGGGGGAAAAAGATAAAATCCTGAATATCGAGATGTGATTTTAATTACACAAAAATAAACAAAAAGGTTGATGGTTGATTAAAATGCTAGTTTAGAATTGAAGAAAATCAAGGGGTTGCAAAATTGTTTTTTTAAGGTAAAAGAAAGAATATTTTAACACGGGAAAAGAAAAGAAGGAAAAACTGCGGGAATGTTTAATTGTCTAGGGTAAAGTACACAACAGTCACTGACGTGTACTGAAACTACCATTTTAGTCATTAGGTTTTAAAATTTATAATATGAACACTGCGCTGTCGGTCATTTATAAGAATGCTTAATATTAAAATTAGTGCCCAAATTATACCATTTTTCACGAATAGGTGTCTAAACTATTTTTTTATTCATCCAGATGCCTAACATTATAAACGTTACTACTTTAGGTGTCTCTTCATAACGACCATTAAAAATATCCATTAAATAACACAAAAGTCACAATCTGGTAATTTATTTTAGAAAAACTTAAAATCACTTTATTTTTGAAAAAGTCCTAATTTTTCTAAAATATAAAAACCCCAAACTCCTTAAATCTCTTATTCTCGCCCATTTTACTTCAACCGTCGATCATCTCGGGCCACCTATCCATCGACAACTAGCCACTCATACGTCGCTGACCATCCACTGACCGGTCATAAACCTTGCCAAAATAAGTGCCCAAATTATACCGCTTTTCATGATAGGTGCCTAAACTATTTTTTGACTCATCCAAGTGTCTAACATTACAAACGTTACCATTTTAAGTGTCTCATCCATAACTGTCATTAAAAATGCCCATTAAGTAACCCGAGTCATAATATGGTGATTTCATAAATTTATTTTAAAAAACTTAAAATTATTTTATTTTTGGAAAATTCATAGTTTTTCTAAAATATAAAAAAATCCAAACTTCCTAAATCTTTTATTCTCGCCCTTTTTACTTCAACCGTCGATCATCTCGGGCCACCTATCTGTCGATGACTGGCCACTCATATGTCGCTGACCATCCACTGATCGGACATAAATCTTGCTATCATCTCAAAACCCAAAATTTTCAAATCCCTAAACTTTAATCTCTAATCTCTAAAATCTAAAATACCTAATCCCTTAAATCACTTTGGTCGATCGTGGTAATTGATCGTTTATCCAGTTGTGGCAGCCGACCCCTTGGCCATTTGGTAAGTCGTTTAGTCAGCCATTTGAACATGGAAATTGAAATCACGAGCATTGCAACGGAGGGGTGGGGAGGGGTGGGGAGGGGTCGGGAGAGGGGAGAGGAGATCCAGGCGGGTTGGGTTTTTTTAATAATATTTTTTATTATTTAAGAAAAATAAAAATTTCAAAATTTTAAGATTGTGATATGTGTTACTTAACGGGATTTTATAATGGTCATTACGGTCGAGACACTTAAAGTTGTAACGTTTGTAACATTATACATCTGGATAAGTAAAAAAATAGTTTATGCACCTATTTGTGAAAAGCGATAAAGTTTGGTACTTATTTTAGTATTAATTCTTATAAGAACGTTAATTGACACATTGAATTAATATATAATATATCATTTTGTCTCTTAATTATAATTATAATTTTATTATAAATTTAATATTTTTTAAAAATAATTTTTAATAAATAAAAATATATTTTTAACAATATATGAAAATCTATAATTTATCTTTTAAATTATAAAATTATTCTTTAAAATTATAAGTTTGAAATTAATTTTATAAATTATAATGTTTAATTAAAACCTTTCCTAACTTATACTTTCACAAATTCTTTTAGCCTAAAATAAAATTGAACGATTTATATTTTATATCTTTTGTGGTCATAAATAAGCTTGTTATTATCTTCTTTAAAATTTTATGAAATATATAACGATTTTAAAGTATATGTTCTAATTATTTCTATAACTATCTATATATATATATATATATATATATCAAATTAATTTTCATAGTTTAAATAATTAAAATATCTTACTAATGTATAAAACAAACAAAAAGTTTCTTTTTTTTTAAAATTCTAAAACATTTTAATTTATTTTTTAAAATTCTATAACATTTCAATTTTTTTCGGCTTTCTACATCAAACATGTTGAAGCTTGTTCCATTTTTTACGTTGGTTTTAAATTTTTTCCTCGGATTAAGCCTCTAAACTACCATGCATTTATAAAATGTTAGTAACCTCTATTTACTGACATTTTTTAAAATATGTTTCATTATAATTCATTTTTTAAAAGATATATTTTATTATTTAGTGTTTGATTAGTGAAAAATAAATTAAAATTCTACAACGTTCAACGAGCACAAATGAATACTACTAACGATAAACACCATTAAATTTAATTTATAAAATTTAAATTCTAAAGGACTAAAAGTATAATTATAAATTAGTTAAAAAAATTAAATTATTTAAAATAAAGAGTAAATTATATCAGTGACCAGCTAACTATTGTCCCATTTCATTTTGACCACCATTTTTGAAATTTTATCAATCAGGTCACTCAACTATTTAAATACATTCAATTAAGTCACTTGTCGTTAATATTTAACAGAGAAATTGATGTGTTAGTTAAAAACATTTTAGTATAATTACAAACTTGGCCACTGTTACTTATATATTATATCAATTTGGTCCTAATTTAATTTATTAAAATTAAATATTATATAAAATATTAGTTTTTATAAAAGTATTTTGAGAATAAAGTATTGATTAAATTATAAAAAATTAAAGAATTGAGTTTTTGATAAAATTTACAAAAGAATTGCAGTAAAAATTCAAGTTGAAAAAAAATATAAGGTAAATTAGCTATTCAGTCACCTAATTATTCGTGTGGTTTCATTTTAGCCACCAAACTATTTGTCCCCCCCAAAATCATCACTAACATTACATTTTGGTTTCATTTTGATCATAATCGTAAAAAATTAACGGTGATGTTAACATATCATCATAAGGTAATGCCACATCATCATTGAAAAATAAAAAAATGTCAATTCAATAGTTCTGATAATTTTTTAATAATAGATGACCAAAATGAAATTAATACCTAACATTAGTGAAGATTTGAAAAATAAATAATTAGATAACCTAACATAACCAAAGTGATATTTATGTGATTAAATACATAGCTAGTCTTTTTTTTTTTAGTTGAGAAACTTTCTCTACCTGTGATAAGAATAAACTTTTAAAAATTATATTAATTTTGAGTAAGGACAAGATGATATATGTCCTAAGATAACCCCAACCATTTGATAGCATCCCAAAATCCAAAAAATTAAATGATTTATAATGATAACTTTTTTTATTATTGTATACTTCTTTTCTTTGTTATTTTCATAATTCCTTGTTTTGTGATGGTATAATTTCTAATAATTTTATAAAGTACATAATGGACATATTGCATCAAAGTAAATATAAAATATGTTGTTGAACCAATATTTAAATGCTAAAAGATATAGTGCTTGAATTGATAATGGCGAAGAAAGGGTTGATGGCTAAATAATACTCCATGTATGTATCGTTATTATATATGATAGAATAAAATCAATTCTTTTTTATTTTAATTTATTAAAATTAGGATCAAAATGATAAAATATATAAGTAACAATGACCAAATGTGTAATTATACAAAATATTTTAACTGCCAGATGAGCTTCTCCATTAAATATTAATGGCAAGTGGCTTAATTGAATGCATTTAAATAGTTGAGTAATTTGATTGATAAAATTTCAAAAATGGTGGTCAAAATGAAAAGGGGAAATAGTTAAGTGTCAATGTATAGTTTACCCTTTATTTTAAATAATTTACCTTTAATTTTTTAAATAATTTATAATTATATGTTGAGCCTTTTAGAATTTTAAATTTTTATAAATTAAATTAACGATATTCATCGTTAGTGGTGCTCGTCGAGCTCTTAGAGGTGGAAGAATCATCAAAAAATAAATGATCCACTTAATTTATTTTCACGGTCAACATTTTAATACCATTTCAATACAAATATTAATTATTAAGACATGTTTAGTAGTAATTTTAATAATATAATATTATATTTTAGTTTTATAATAATATATCTAATTATATTATAATAATATATGATATTAATCTTTATTTTCATAATATATAGTAATAATTAATAAAATTAATTTTATTTATTATTTTAAAAATAATATTATTCAATACTTAAAATATATTTATTATTATTTTTAAAATATATATTTTTATTTTAATAGTATTGTTTTTAATATTATGATAATATTTTAAGTTGAAAAAATTAAAATATTAATGTTATACTTTTTTCTAATAAATATTATTATTTATTATATTATATATTTATAATAAATAAATTTTTAAAATTGTATAATCATTAAAAAGTAATTTAAATAATATCATCTAAATACCATAAAACGATTTTTAGAAATTATTTTGAAAAAAAATATAATGAAAATATTTTTTAAAATTTGTTTTTCTGTAAAACAAACAAAACCTTAATATTTAACACCAAGAGTACTTACAAGTTTACGACCAAGTAAATAAGAAAGTAATTCATGACACAAATAAATAAAAAATAATGCTACAATAGGTGGAATGCATAAAGGAAATGATCACTACTTTTTTCCTCTTGCATTAACGAGACCTAGTTGAATATTTCAAGAAATATACGCACAAAATTTTAAAAGGTGTATGGGAAAGAACATTTACTTTGCAAGCGTTTGTTGGTAAGGGATGCTACGAAAATATCAAGAACATACCACAAGAAATGTCACAACAAATACACAATTTTAATTATTCATAGTCAGTTTGTTTTACAGAAAATAAATTTATAAAATAAATTCCATAAAATGAATTACATTTTATGGAAATCATATTCAAAAAATCATTTTAGGGTATTTGAATGTTGTTATATAATTCATTTTTCACTGGTTGGTAATTTAAAAAAAAATTCTTTATTATAAATATCAAATGCGATCTATACTATTACTTATTAACAAAATCATAATAATATTTATAAAATATTAAAATAATTTATTTAATATCATTTATGTCAATATTATTATTAAAATATTATATATACAATTTTATGGAAAAATATTAAGATTATTATATTTTATCAAAATAAAATTATTATAAATTATAATT